TTGTGACCTTGAAATTACTAGAGGGCAGAGGAATCTGGCCTGTATTTAATTTAAGTACCTGTATTTACTTTTGTAATTTATATTTTTATTAGACTAACGTTTTATATTTTTTTATAAGTTAAAAAACAAATGTATTCATTTATTTTTTATTTTTTTGTCGGTGTGAGGTGTAGTGTGGTATAGCCCCCACGATTATATATATTAGAGTTAAGTTAAAAATAGAGTCAGTATAATTAAAGTTATAGAATCATCAACACGCCTATTTCATTGACACATTTCATATATCACACTTGATTGTTTGATATTTACAAATGTTATTATTAAGTGAATGTTCAATTTGATAAAAACCAAGGTTTTACCAGGGTGATTTAGCTGTACCTACTTATATAAATGATTTTTTTTAAATAGTACAAAAGGTTTGTAATCTCTGCATAAAACAGTCACTTACTCTCAATTTCAAAGAAAACACGAAGAAAACTCGTAGTTACCCACTAAAAGCAAGTATCCTTAACCAGAGTAAACAGAGTACCTTTAACCGACGAGCGTGTATGCACACGCTCGTCGGTTAAAGGTACTCTTGATTTGGACCATTTTTAATATATCGCCAATTTGGTCGATAAACTTTCGCCTAGGGCGACCCTTCCCGACTATGCCGTGAACGGCATAATGAAGCAATCATATCCTAAATTGTGCAACACCAGCTTTAATAAAAATAATTAATGAGAAAATCTTATAGTGACCATATCAATACCAAAAATCTTTTATATTTGAAATAAATAGATTGACTTGGCCATCGCATGAAAACACAATGTATCTGTCAAGTAATACATATTATATTAGATTGTTTAGTGCGATTGCCAAGTCAATTTATTTCTTTAAAACTTAAAAGGCTTTTGATATTGATATAGTCACTATAAGATTTTGTTAGGTTAGCTAATTACGTAATAATTTAAGACAGAAGGACCCTTAAGTAGAAACTGAATAAATTAACCGACTTGGTATTACATGGATCTCACAACTTTTTACGGTAGAAGAACTGAGTTGCGAGACTTGGCTTTTTTTACAAGTTATGTTTTTGATGGCATCTCATTTCTTTTTGTAGATAGTTATATCTAGGTACCTATCTACACCTATTATTCCATTATATTAAACATATATAGGTACACTGATTCATTCACTGCAAATGTAACTTTGTAATCCTATATATTTATATGGGATTACAAAGTTATTCATGCAGTTGGTGTATCTCAAAACTGGACCGAAATTGCAAAATATTTTAATTTTTCCTTGATTTATATATTAAACAATAATTGTATTTCAAATTTGAAGCTTCTATGTCTGCTAGCAGTGCCTTAGAGTTTTGATGATCGGTCAGTCAGTGAGTGACAAAATTAAGAAACTTTGACTAGTTATAATTCTTAAACTACTGGTTCAGATTTAATGAAATTTGAAATACACCGAGTTTATACAATGTCTACTTGGTTTTCAGGCTTCTAGTTTTATCCACAACGAAGTTATAGGGTTTCGAATATGGCCTGAACTGCTTAGAGAAAAGGACGGTACGGCCATGCCGCTTTTTTGCTCGACTTGGAGTGCCCCCGCACTGCCGTGCCCCCAGAAAACACATCCTAAAATATTCTGGACTTTCGTCAAAGCCATTCGGGGTGGGTCAGGATACCCTAAAAAAATGTCTTTGAAAGATGCAGAGTACACCGAAGGTATATACATATGCAATGCTTTCAACTCACTCTTCAAGAGTGTATTTGGTATACCTAGTAATAACTATATATATCCACATACGGAATCGATATGTACTGACATCGTTTCTAATGTACAGACAAACGCTGCAATAATTGAAAAAATGTTGAAAACTTTGGACACGAACAAAGGTGCCGGTAGTGATGGGTTACCTTCATTTTTTGGTGACGATGCGCTAAATCACTTGCTCTCTCCTTCACTATTATATTTAATCGCTCTCTGCGTGAAGGAATATTTCCGTATCAATGGAAGTGTGCATACATAGTCCCTGTACACAAGAAGGGATCACGTAGAAATAAAGAATTATAGAGGCATTTTTATTTTGAACACCGTGTATAACGTAATTTACTCCACGTTCTCACGTTCCTTCCATGAGCAGCAACATGGTTTCTTACAAAGGCGATCCACCACTACGAACCTGGCAAGTTTTTCTTCTTTTGTCCTTGAAAATATGGATCAAGGCGGGGAGATTGATGTGATCTACACTGATTTTGAAAAAGCTTTCGATTGTGTGGATCACACGATCCTGCTCAACAAATTACAAATATTAGGAAATCAAGAGTACTTGCTCCGGTGGACTGAATCATATCTCACAAACCGCTCACGGGCAGTCGTGACAGGTGGTTTCCGTTCGAGCTACATAAACATAACAGGAGTTCCTCAGGGCTCTCACTTAGGTCCACTTTTTTACAATGCCTATCTATATGACATTGATTCATGCATTGTAACACAAATTATCTCGTTTTAACTTATTGGCCCCTGACCGCGAACGGCTCGAACTGAAATCACAAAAATTACTCCTACTTCCAGAACAAATAGAACGTTAAAGATAATTGTCTACTTCGTCTTAATCTTTTTATATAGAAGAAAGGGACAAACGAGAATGCTGCTCACCTGATGGCAAATGTCAACCACTGCCTATTAGCAAATTCAGCCCCAGGCGAATTGCAGGCGTGTTGCCGACTTTTAAAAAAGGAGTAAACTCGTTTCTTGAAGCTCCCTAAGTCGTATCGGTCCGACAGTAGTGGACCGGCAAACATCTTTTTTCAAGCAATACTGTCCCGTACTGTTGTGCACGCCAAGCTTTATAGAGGCCAATTCAACCTTCCCTTCCAAGTGACCATGAAACTCTACGTTATTCGATATGTCAACGTCGAAGGTTCCGATACAGCGATACTGGCTGAGATAACAAGGGGAGTGCCCTGAAATTGAGGAGTTACGACAAAAGGGTTCTTTTTCGTGGTAAACGCGCAAACTTGTGTCTTCTGGGCTTTGAACTTAATTAGATTTAGTCGCCATAATCCGAGACCTTATCCGGCAAAGATTCTACTTCAGACACAAGTTTGTTCCGGACCTCAGTGACGTTTTCCCGAGAAATATAGGCACAGCCGGTGTATAAAGCATCACCAGTGCACGTTACTGGTTTGCAACATATTATTGACAAGCAGAAGAAACAGCGTAGATGATAGCACTTACCCATCTTGAACACCAGCATAAATAGATTTGTAAATGGAGCATGCACTTTCTACTACGAATTTGTTGCTCCAATTTACAAGAAAACTGCTGATCCAGTTGCACAAATTCTCGGGATGCCCATAGGAATGGAGCTTCGAAAGAAGCGCTTTGTGCCAAACCCGATCGAAGGCCTTCGTTATGTCCAAACTAACAACCAGGGTCTCCCTAAGATCACGAGCTGAGCTACCCCAACGGAAATCGTATTGGCGGTCACTTTTCTGTTGGTGATACTAAACCTTGATGAGCAGGCAGTTCACAAAGGTTTTCATTATTTTGGAGAACAAGTTGGATAGGTCCGAGTGGGCGATTTTTGGTTATTTTTTAGGGATCTCGTGCACTAAAGCTGTCTGCTTTGAGTTCGGGACTACGCCTAGGGAGAAAGAGTTTTAGAAAAGACACGTTACGACCGGTGACAACTAGGGAGCACATGTCTTCAGCACAATGGAAGGAACTCATCAGGCCCACTAGACTTGATGTCTAGGGAGAGTAGTGCTATGCGCACCGAGTGCTGTGTAAACCGTATCGTACTGACCTGAAGGCGAAATTATACTTATTTTTAACAGCGCTGGTGAGCATTCCTATTATAGCGCGATGCAATTTTACAAGATCGATCAAACCAGGCACAATAGATGATAGAATAATGAGTCCCATTCCCTGAAGTACCACATCAGCGACAGAAGCACGTTGGAATCATCCGGCTAGAAGAATACCCGCCCCTGTCCTCAAAGGAAGGATGCAAAAAAGACCGCATCCGTCGGCTTTACCTATAGAGGCACACATGAGAGGTAGATGCGAGGATAGTCGTCGCTGAACTTCAAGACTGCCGAGGCGTCGAGAATAGATGTCCTCTCTGACGTATACGCAAACTCCAGCACGAGGCACAAAGGTGTTATAATTTAAACCCCGGATAGGAGAGAAGTATCGACCAGGGAGGACACCTGCACCTCGATAAGAAAGAGCAAGGTCAGCTTCGTCGTCTTCAGATGGTACCTAGTGAGACTTCGTTAACGTTCGAATGAAATCCCTTGATGTGTCAGAAATTCACGGATAGCGTGGCAGAGTTCACGGGTACACCTTTGCCGTATTGCTCTTTGCGGAATTTTGCCCCCCCAGAATACGCGAGGCAGCCTGAGCACCTAAGGAAGAGTAGGGTAGCTTGGGCGTGGATGCTCCGCCAGGGATTCTCCAATGCCTGGCTGAGCATGGGTGCTGGTACCCTCCTAGGATGGTTTCTTATTTAATTACACTACCATGTTAAGGAGGAGAGGGCTTAGGCCTTCGACCACCTGCACTTAACTGACCAAGTAAGCTTCTACTTCACGCAGGTTATCTGTAAGGTCGTGGGTCTCCTCGGTTCGAGCCGGTCCACCCATTCATTACAGCTCCTCATTTTATATCTTACCAGGTCGTCACTCCATCTAGCCTGGATCACCCGAGCGACAGCGAAAGCTGCCGTGTGGCTCTTCCACTGTTATGTTGTGTGCCTATATTATTTACTGTAATCTACTTCGTCATTGTTCATGCGTTAGATACACATAATACTTAGTAGTAAGTAGCTTTGCTTGATTATGCCCTGCAGTGGGCGACAAGGAGCTGACGATGAAGTAGTTTTGCACCTTTAAAGTATTTAGATTAGTTTAAATAGGGCCCCAATTTCATTTTTGCCCCGGGGCCCTTGGTTACATAGCTACGCCACTGGCAGTGCTCCGTATTTTTTTTTCTTTGTTGATCTGAGTCTGAGCTTATAATATGTAAATAGCATAATTTTGAAAAACAATTAAAATAATTAATAATAGTGACATAAACAAAAAACAACAAATATATTACAAAATATATTAATGGTCTATACTTATATAAATATATGTATATAGTATATTTACACTTCGTTTAAAGTTTCCATGGTTTCTTTTTTAATGACACTGGCAAATAAAGATTTTATGGCAGCACCTGGATAAGATTCGCTGTCGTCAAAATTGGCAGATAGACTGTGGAATGTTTTATTCATTATAGATTTTATCTTTCTTCTAAAATCACTACTGTTTTGTAAGGATAGCTTTTTTAAATCTTCTGATAAAGTTGCTAATTCTTCGTTTTTAGAGCACAACTCTTGTTTTAATAAATTTATTTCTTTAAATTGTTCTTCCTGCTTTTTGTCGTTTTCTTTGTAATATGATTCGAACTTTGCCTGTAAAGTTTTCAATTCATTTCTTAGTAAAGCATTTTCTCTATCTTTTTCTTCCATTATTTTTTCAAGTTTCTCAATTTTATTTTTATGTGAATCTATATCATTTTGCATATTATCTTCTCCATGTTGCCTGTATGATTTGAAAATAGTAGCATAATCTAGTCCTTTTGATATTAAGTAAGTTTCATATGTTTTTATTTTGTTTTCATATTCATTTAACAGTTTTTGAACGATATTACTTTGAAAATTAATTGTATTACTACTTTCTGATTCACCAATACCATGAATGCCTTGTATTATTTTGTCCATTTTATCTGTCAATCTATTTATATTAATCCGTAATTCACTATTGCTTATTCTCTGTTCAGACATAAATAAACTTAAGTCATTTGAATTGTTTATGATAGGGTCAGCAATTATATTCGTACTTTTAATAGGTACAAGTTCCTGATCAAAATTACTTGCTGAAATATAATCAGAGTGTAATTTCGAGGCCCCTTTTTCCAAATTAACCTCAGTAGAATCCTCTTTATGTAGATCTACTTTTTCATTCAAATTTCTCTTGAAATTAATCTTCTGTAATTTATGTCTGATAACTTTTTGCGAAGTTGCATCTGTGTCTGAAGAATCATCAGATCTTGGTAAAGTTACAGCCTGTTTTGGCAGCACAGATTGACCCATTGTAGCCATCCTTTTTAAAATAGAATCCTTGGTTCTTCTTTTTATTGAATAATCTGTATCATTTTCTTCATCCTTGAGAATCTGACTAGAAATTATTTTATCATCATGATTTTTAGTGGAAATATTTTCTGGGCCTGGTAAATTGTTTATTTGAATGTTAAATGGTTTTAATTTTTCGATGAATTTAGAAATTTCAGCATCTGTTCCATACAAGCTCCAATAACTATGACAACTGTCATAATATGATAAGTTAGAATTTCCTTTTATGTTTACCTCTAGTTGAGGGGAAATATTCGTACATGACAAAGTCAATTTATTACAATCGTATAAAATAATGTTATAAAGTTCAGTTTTTACAGATTTTACTATAGCAGCACCCAACTTTCCTCTAGAAAGATATGTACTGTTAACCCTGTAAATAAACAATATATGTATATGTAATTCATATCCTTAATAAATAAACAAGTGGGGTAAGTTTCAATACCATCTACTTCTGAGAGCAATTAGTACTACGCCGAGCTGCTCTAATGCGTGTTGGGGGACAACATGACTTCCAAATATTTTGTTTCTTAGACATGCAGACGCCCTCACGATGTTTTCCTTCACCGTCGAGCACGTGCTATAAGTTAAAGTTACAGCCTATATATGTCCCGTTGCTGGGCACAGGCCTCCTCTCATTCCTGAGAGGGTTTTACGGCAAGGAAATGTCCGCCGCGCTGCCCCAATGCGTGTTGGCGAACTTCACATATCTTCGAATTTGTTCTCTTATTTCTCAGACACAAACACTGAACTTTTAAATACGCGGTAGAGCCATGCTAAAGCTATATTAGTAGTATTTTTGTAGCACGAATGGGTCGGCTCGACCGGGAAAGGACCATACTCTCACAGAATACCAGCGTCAAATAGCAGCTCAACACTGCTGTGTTTCGTATGGTGAGTGTAGAGAACCGGAGACCCTTTTTACTGGAAACGAGGCATTCCATCTTAGTCCTCACGGGTGACAACGCATCTGCATAAAAAACACAGCTGCCACAGCAACCACTTACCATCAGGTGGACTGTGTGCTCGTTTGTCACCCTATGCTGTATAAAAAAAAATGCAGGTTTCCTCACGATTTTTTCCTTCACCGCCGAGCACATGATATGCACTTAAATTGCAATTAACAATCTAATCGATGGCGGCGGAGATCGATCTTTAGTAGTCGTTCCGAAAAAAAAATTAAGGAAATTAATATATTAACTTTGGCCTCACAATACATTAATGAAAATGTACGTACACAAAAATGAATGTAGTTTTACAAAAGTAAGTGATATTCATTATGTAAATATTAATAATATAAGAATAATAGTAAATACAAATTAGTAGTACCAGTCACTCGACTCCATCGAGTCAGTAATTCATTCTTATGGCGATTACTACGCTTTTACAACAAAATCCCAAAAAAAGGCTATTATAATATCAAGGAATTTATGGATGATAAATAACCTCTGGGAACGAGGTGATGGTTACCAGGCTATTTCTAATTTCTTTTGCGTTGTTAATTGCGTAACAGTTGCGTAACATACATGAATGTAAGCTGTTATTTTTTAGTCCCTCTGGGTTTTATTGCTGGTTCTTCCCAGGACAGAGGTTTTTTTCGGAACCAATGGTACCTAATGAAACATAATAGTAACTTTCAATATTATTTATAATCTACATTGAATTAAAAAGTTTCTGTATCAGTAGCTAGCTTTTTATAAAATTTACATTGAGCGTTTACGTGAAGTACCTCGACTCTTAAAAAACAGGATTGAAGAGAAATAATTTACTATATTTTTTAATTAATTTCTTTTGGTTATTCTGAACAAAAACTTCATTTTTTCATTTCATTTGAACTTTCAAACTGGTCCTGCTTGGCAAGGTGAACTATTATTAAATCCCCTCCTAGAGAAGTTCTTGCTTTAGGTTTGCGGAGCACATTCGAAGTTGTCTGAAGTGTATTAAAATGCTACACAGTCTGTTTCACCATCGTTTTTGAGCAAGGCAAATAATCCACAATTGTTTTATACAACCATAATGACTACACAGCTTTATTATTATTTCTCTAGCAGTAGAGTCGCAAGATTTATTATTTCCCATTTTTTATCAAAAATAAATTGCAGAAAACTTGTATCCTAACAATAAGAGTGCAAAGAGGTAATGAATATGGTAATGAAGAACATCGCATTACATTTTCAAAATTAAAAAAGAGAAAAATATATTTTCATACTTAATTATTTGTCCAGCCAGTATTCCGGCAACTTTATCGAGTTACTATGATTTAATAAATAGATAAATAAAAAGGTACATTATTTTGACAAGATTTTTACACTAATAATACAGAATATTTTACAGCACTATCAGAGTATAAGGAGAAAACATAGTGTTGGCTTTGTAATATTAATCATTCTTAATTTTATGATCACCACTGTATATAGACAGTGAGTTTACCTAAATATTATTCAATTTTGTTCTATAGTAAAATTCAAGATGTAGCACAGATTATTACGTAGATATAGCCGCTAAAGCAAAAATTGTGATCTAGACTTTGTAGAGATCTATAAATAACACATTACTTATATGTACATTTATCAATGAATAGAAATGCAATATTCTTTCAGAGCAGCAGGAAAGGACACTGTCAAAATATGTAATCATGAATAGTATATCTCTGCTACATTACATTGGTACAGTAAGTAACAGTAATTCAACACATAGGAATTATAATCGTACTTTATTTCTCAGAGTTTCTAACACACCTTCATTACAATGGATGGGGTATCTTAAGGTCAATGAAAACATAATCTACCAATAACAACAAAAAATATGTAAGGAGTAAGTGGAAATAACAATGGGTTTGTCATCAACGACAGTGTTTATTAAACCATTCTAAATCTGTCTTACCATTCATAGCCAAAGAAAGCAGAGGCGTATACAATTTGTGTTGCTTTAGATTCTTCTTTTTTTGAGGCTGTATTTTGTGGTGGTATCGGAACATATTTTAAAGACACATCATCTTTTTCCTCTATGTGTGTATCGCTGCCAAAAATGTTTGCCAATGTTGTGCTGAAATTTTTAATTACAGTAAAAAAACAAAACATTCAAAGTAGATTATTTGATTTAACAGTAAAAGGAAAAATATGACACCTTGCTACTGGAGTGAAATAATCAATATCAACTTCGTCAGCTTCCAACATTTTTGTTTGATAATTGTGGCCAATACACCATAGCCGCTTTTTCACAAAATTGTAAGATGATGACTGTATATTCTCAAGAAATACCTTTGTAAGTTTATTCCATCTCAGTACTTGTGTATAATGTTAAAAGTCAGAATCAGAAGTACTATATATTTTCTTCTTTTATATTATGACTTCTCTTGTTAGAATTTTCTTTTTGTAATAAAATTTTATATTTTTATTTTACAATATTTTTTTTTTTGGAGTTTATGGCCTGGTATCTAGACCTTTAGGCCAAGTCTTAAGTATTTTTATTCGTATATTTATTTCACATGCGTAGACACTTAATACACAAAATCGCAACACTTTTACATATCAAAGTCCACTTCAAACCATTATTTAAACAATAATACAGGAGCAGCAAACCGCCGCCGGTCAATTTCCCGCCAAAACTCATTTTACAATATTATGAGATACAAACCATAGATTAGATTACTGTGTGTTTCTATATAGTTTGTGATTACTGTATATATACCTACTAGAGATTAGAGAAAAGGAGAATACATACATATTATACTAGCTTGCTACATATTTATTTATCTATGATTCTATGATATCACAGTCTATAAATCCATACAGTCGTCCGACGAAGACGTCTAGACGGTCTAGACAGGGCAATCGTGCGGGGTGTGAGGGGTGGAAACGCGGGAAGGATGAGCCCATGAAGCTAATACAAAGGGGAGACGGCATAAGCAACTGTGCACTGTGATTCTAAGTAGGTCCTGACGCCATCATAGTGAGCGTGGCTTTAGTTAGTATATTGTCAGCATTCGTCCTGTGCGCTTATGTGTTGAAAAAAATCGCAAATCGGTGTATTTTCGTAGTATTAAGAAGAAAAGGATGAAGTGTTGTGTTTTATCGTGTAAAAACTTCTTAGATAGACGCTCTGATGCTATGGATGGCATCACATTTCATTTGTAAATAATTTTACACCTAATTTATTAAAATAGTTCTTGACAAATCTCTTTGCGTCGGCTATCAAATATAATTAAATATATTCGACACTAGATGGCGACACTTTGTGTCATGTGAACTAAAAATATAAAGGTCCGTAGAGCTCAGTATTGGTAAAATAATCATATGAAGGTGCTGAAATTTGTTTTGCATTTAGACATAAAGAAATTTTAATCGCAAAATATTATTTTTATAGTTTATAATCATTTTGAGAACAGGCCGTATTCTCGTCAAGTAAACCTCATAAAAATGACTAAAAGACAGGGCCCTAATTAGAATTCAATTATTTTTCCCAGTAATCCAACTTTTAATATTAAAATGCAGGAAATTGTACTTAGGCTGATCTTTACGAAATGTTTAAGTTATATTTAAGTGACATTCTATATGCAAAGAATTACTTAAATACAATTTAATGTTCTTAGATTGGCATTCAAAAAGTGCATTCGGATGCCTAATTTGGAATAAAATATTTATATTTTAATTGATTTGTAAATAAAATAATATTAATTATAATAATTTGTCTATTATTTGTTCTCCCTCAGAGATATCAAATAGTATAACCCACACATAAATAATAGTCCAACCGTTTTTGCGTGAAAAAATTACACGTACTTAGTGTGGAATAAGCTCAGAAAGAACACACAAAATTTCGCCTTTATAATATTAGTGAGATAAGTAGGATATTTAGTTCCAAATTAAATATCCTAATTAATATTGAACATAGAATATTTAGTTTCAAAGAGACTTTATTTTATTGGATAAAATAAATATTTCTTGAAGGTTGACTTTCACGAAATGATAAACATATTTAAATTGTATTTAAGTGATTCTTTGCATATAGAATGTCACTTAAATATAACTTAAACGCATCTCGTAAAAATCAGCTAAGTACAATTTCCTTCATTTTAATATTGAATGTTGGGTTACAAGGTAAAATAATTGAATTCTAATTGCGGCCCTGTGTTTTTGTTATTTTTTATGAGGTTTACTTGAGATAGATGGCGGCCTGTTCCCAATATTATTATGAAAACTATAAAAATATTATCTTGGTGATTAATATTTCTTTGTCTGAATGTATTTGCTTCATGAGATAGACGCTCCGATGCTATGGATGGCATCACATTTCATTTATAAGTAATTTTACATCTAATTTATTAAAATAGTTCTAGAAAAATCTCTTTGCGTCGGCTTTCAAATATAATTAAATATATTTCACACTAGATGGCGGCACTTTGTGTCCTGTGAACTAAAAATATAATGGTACGTAGAGCTCAGTAATGATAAAATAATCATAAGAAGGTGCTGAAATTTGTTTTGCATTCAGACATAAAGAAATTTTAATCGCCAAAATATTATTTTTATAGTTTATAACATTTTTTTGACATGCCGCCATCTACCGTTAAGGTAGCTAAGCTACATTGCAACATCGATATGAAAAGATTCGAGTAGATTTACTATTTATCAGCAGATGTAGATAGTGTACGGGGCGGGGAATTGCATCCCCTCACCCCGCAAATTGTCACGCGTTCTTACATAGTGAAATTTAATTACAACGTCTCCTCTTTGTATTTGCTTCATGGATGAGCCCGAGCTGCTCATGCCAATTGAATTAGTAGAGGCCGTGTCAACTTCCTAATAGCTGATGGGTACCGGGAGATGACCTTGGGGGGCTTTAAGGAAGCGAGATGGAATAATATCCATCTCCCTCGCACGTTTTGTTATCTTGCCCGCCTAATGTCGCCTCCACACGCTTGGTGTTTTCCACATACACTATACACGAACAAACACCGACCACATTCACCCAACACAAACACGGCATCCACACGCTCGGCTCGGCAAACGTGCTAGTATATTCCGGATAGGCAAACATGATGGACGACGAGCTTGTGACAGCGATTACTTTCGGGTTGACCTATTTTTATTTAAAAATAAGGCAATATGAATTGCTCTCAAGGTTATTGTATTGAAGAATTTATTTACCATAGAATCTCAAATGAATTCTCAATTATCACTGCTATAAATTGTCTTCAGGGTTAAATAAGTTTGGTTTGAACGCTTTTATTCGTTTTGCATAGATGATTATTATGTAAAACGTGACTCTATATTAATCTAAAAACAAACTTTTATGAAATTAATGCTTGACCGGGTAATCGAACCCCGAACTTTCGTTTGACATTATATTTTAATCTATTTACTTTTCACATTGACTATCTCTTTATTCGAAGCGCCTTATACAATCTAATAGCAATATTTTCAAAACGCACAATTGTTGATTTTTTATGGAAGGAATATGATATACTATTTTTTTAAGCGCTTCGTCAAAACTAATAGTAGTAATGCATATGAGCCGTTTTCTTCATAAAATGTTTATTTTTAACAGCTTACAATAACATTACAAAGTTGTTAATGCAGCTAATCTTAGGCCTTTTCTATGAAAATGTAAAATATAAATGTAATGTCTCTAATGAAAAATACCACTTTAAAGCTAAATATTTCACAAACGGACCCCTGAATCGAAAAGATGTTGTTCAACACCCTAAATGATATTGTAGGTACTAAACTTATCGATATATAGGATATACTAATCTTATATAATTTTTTCGTATTTTATTTTGGGAATTGATGATCCTGCTGTCACACGGGACTCCTTATAAAAAGAGGTGAAATATTTGTTACCCAATAGAAACATTAATTAGGAGTCAATGACATTATTATTGGGAGGTCTCTAGAAAACTTTAAAAAATAATATAGGTGGTAGATCTACTAACTTTTCGAAGTAGAATTGGTAGGAAACTCAACTTCTGAAATCATATTTACCTCCGAGACAAATTTCGGATTGGTAACATTGGCGTAGAGTATAATAATAATAGCCACTAGTAACTCCTTGCGCCGCCAGCAAGCCGCAAGCTCGAGCGTACCACTGACTGATTGCCAAACGTGTGGATACATCGCAAACACGTTTGTGGAACACCCTTTGATCGGTGCACAAAAACCGACGCCAACGCCGATCACTGGCATACAAATAAACAAACAGGCAAACAACCATCCACACGTTCGTGATTGCTGTTTGGTGAATGCTGTTTGCCGTTGCTTGCCAAGCGTGTGGATGAGGCTTAAGGGTATTAGTGTTCTGTGAATTAGTAGCTCGGGACACGACTTCCAGGGTTAATGCGTTAATGCCTTATGGAAAAAGGAACTATCATACTATACAATAGGAAGAAGGCTAGGAAAATAAATGGTACGTACCTGGATCCGAATCTAAGACCGCCCCAAGGCTCGGTCAGGCCGTAGGTAGAGTATATGCATGTAAAGTGGTGTTTAGTGGTGTGTATATGAGGGTGACCTGGCCCAGCTGAGGTGACCTGGCAGCGCGATGGTTTCCATGCTGCCCCACAATGCCGAACCACTCCAGCAGGCGCCCACAATGGACGATTTCTTTCTTCATTTCACTATTTCAGTCTATCTACTTTATTGTACATTTAACTAACTTCAACTCTATTAATTCAACGTTCATCATAGATTCGAACACGTGATACCCGACACAAGAAACGGACAGTAGTTCAAAGTTCAACATTCAATGTCCCGGATTTATTTATCACCAAATTACAAATAGGGAACTAACGCGATCTCTTCATGAGTCACACGGTTCAGCGTTACAAATAAAACTAAGCTCCTTCGTTCGATATTAAACACCACGCCGCAATAAGAATTCAAAATTAACCTAGCTGACACGTAAACTATCTACCAAGTCAACAGACAAAAGGCTCTTAACGCGACGGTATAATTAAACGATGGAATGGATTAAACGAAGGACTAAGTGTCTGAGGATACAGATGCAAGTGCAACTTAATCTCGCAGATTTATCGATCTGCGCAGCTATTAATTAACCACGAGTTCCACTTCTCTACGACTAACGCTGTAGGCGATGAACCAAGCTATTTAAGCCCTCGGCAAAATGTCGTCGACCATCAAGCATGAACTAGGCATCGACGTTGTGAGTATCAAATATTATGGAATTTATACTATCATACTATCATTACTAAATATCTATAACTAACTACGCTAAAAGTTTTATGATTGTGACTTGGGAATGTTACGAGCTTGGGGTTCGAGACAATTAAAAACTGCCGAGTGAATTACCAAAATTGACACTTTAATTACAGAACACTAATTACAACTTAAAACCACACTAATAATAAAACAATTGTACTACAGATCACTTTAGTTCGCAGTTGTTTCGCTTAGAAGTATACGCTTGCATCGCCAATTCAATACTGACTCGGTCGTGGTCTATACCGGTCTTATATAGGGCCACAGATAGTTTCCAGAACCTTCTACTGTAAAAACATCTAGAATGTTTGAGTACATATCGGTCTCGAAATTTCTAGAAGGATCTTGACTCTCCTAGTTCTGCTACTCGATACTAGAGGGCGCTAGTAGTAACTAGTGTTGCCATGTACAAGACATTAATAGTGGCGCGCAACAGGAATAAAATCCGAAGTTCTGAAGCTCCGCTCAACGAAAATAGCGTGACGCTATGAATATTGTACTAGTATGACCGTGAGGCTATGCGGTTGATTAAGTAAGGTTATACATTTATTTTGGGTGATAAATAGATACTTAGTTGGGTTCATAATGGCTTACAGAGGATAATCTCAAGATTTTTTTTTGTCTTTAATGTACTACAGTTTTATAATGTATGAAAATCTGTCTCTATATTTACCTAGAAACGATTCTAAATTTCAACCTTTATCTATATCTATCTAAAGTTTTGAAAGTTAAATTTTGAAGTCTTATTATAACAAGATTTTACTAACTAATTGTTGAGTTCTTCTTTTCATTACAACCAACCAGTCCAATCAACCTTAACCATTTTTCCTAATTATAGAATCCGGAGGGAATCTGTTTGACAAACGGCAAAATAAAATTACATTTTAGTACGCAAGCCAAGGATTTATTTTCTTGTTGTGTAGGCAAGTCTATCGGTTCATTATAAACATTCAAGATAAATATCGACATTAATTTTGATATAGTTGAGTGAATCCCTACCCTACATGTAAAATATTTTGTATAAAAATGTATTTATCAAATTATCAACAACGTGACTTTTTTCTTTGTAAAATATCAAAATAAACAAAATAATTGAAAACGTTCTATATTTTAAACAGTATATAACATAAATTTTAACTAAAAATAAACGTGTCATAACATTGACGACGTCTTGAGAATTTACCTGTCAAATGTGCAATTATCAGGATTATTATTAACACCACAATCACCCACTGAACAAATAAGCATTTTGGAAAAAGCTTACTTACTAAAAATAACCACTATTACACTTTAAAAATTACAAAATATCTAGGAGCTATTTCTTGCGTGCCGAATTGCGACGATCTGTCATTCAAAATCGGTTAAGTATAGAGTAATGGGATTTAGTATCCTTTTCTTCTTGCATTTTTGCCATAAGGAATTTTCTTCTCCCTTGCACACTATGTTGGTCTATACGCCAGTATATTCTAAGTCTATGGTATTATATAATATATATATATATATATATATATATATATATATATATATATATATATATATATATATATATATGCACGATGGACGAATTGTGCTCTCGCTTGTTCACATATTTCGTTCAATTACCGCCCGCCCCAACTTGAGTTAGTGATTATCGACTCTAGTTAGTTCGAGTTGAACGTAACTCGAGTTATTTCGAACTAGTAAATCGAGTTGATCCATCTCTATCTGTGGTCTGTGGTTTGTCAATTGTCATTTTTGTCAATTGTCATTTCCTCATCTGTTCTGCTGATTTTGCTCGTCGTTTGATAAATTAGGTTATTACAAAGAGGAGTAAATATTCCACATTTTTATTGCTTATAAATTAAATAATTTTTTTTCTAAAAATTGTGTTGTTAAAATGCCTGATTCCTATACGTGCATCACTTGTCAGGTTTTGTTCAAAACAGCTGAGTTACAACGAGAACATTATAAATTGGATTGGCATAGATACAATTTAAAAAGAAAAGTAGCTTCTATTCCTCCAGTTACATTAGAAGAATTTGAACAAAGAGCTAAGGAACACCGTGAGTCTGCTGAAGCAATCAAAGATGAATCAGCCTATTGCAAGTGTTGTTCAAAACTCTTTAACACAAAGAATGCTTACAGCAATCACTTAAATAGTAAGAAGCATAAACAAGCGGAGGATAAATGTATTGGAAGTGACAAAAAGGAAGATCACAGTAATCATTCTGATACAGACAGTTTTGTAAAAATAGACAATGTTGAAAATCAAAATACATTGCAGAGTGGACCTGAAAAATTTGTTGTTCTTAATCCCGATGGTTTAGATGATGAAGATATTGAAACAGATTCAGAAATTGAAGAGGTGTGTTTCATATAATTTTATTTATGTTCTTTCTTTAAAATATGTTTAAATAGCCCTCAGGGGTGACAAAGAATCTGCATTTTGATTCTTAATCGATGATAAATAAAGATATCAATGGACCACAGCATGCCCTTACCATCAGTTGAACTGTGCTTGTTTGTCACCCTTATTTTATTCTTTAAAAAAATAGTCGAAAAAAACTTTAAATGCAGTAATTCAACTGAATTCAGAAAGAAGCGTCAGTAGTCTAATGGCAGGGCGCGGACCGCGAATACGAAAGGTCGTGGGTTCGAATCCACCATTCGACTACTGTCGTGAATCACTTCTAACACAAGCATTTTAAGCTTACCAGAAGTGGTTAAAGGGAATATTGGTAATGTTTAATAGCATTACTAGTATTTTAAAAAAAAATATTTTTATAAAGGTTACACCATTCTATTAAATGAAAAATATAGTAAAAAATTATTTGTATAATAAAATGTCTTGTTGATGTACAGATAAATAATACTGATTGATTCATTAATTTTTGTTTCAGCTTGATTCAGATGAATGGGATGAGTGTCGCATAAAGGATAGCGATTCACTTATTAAACCTAGAGACTGTTTGTTTTGTACTCACCATAGTAAAAATATGGTAAAAAACCTTAAGCATATGTCTGAAGCTCATTCTTTCTTTATTCCTGATGTAGAATATTGTGTCAATGTTAAAGGACTTCTATTGTATTTGGGAGAAAAGGTACACTATTTTAAGTTTATAATATATTGTATTTGCATTTTTTTAATATATTGTATTTAATGGTTGATAGAACATAATAATGACAGTAGGGATGCATCAATATGCATTTTTGGCATTACAATACCAATATTGATACTCATATTAAAATATCGGTGATAGCCTTAAGATTAGTAGTGAGTTTAAATGAAGGTAAAATAAAACATGTGGTGGATTAAATATTTAATTTTTGAAATTTCGTGAAGAAACCCATATGTTTGAAAAATGAAAAAAAATGTTTCGAAGACATGTGAAGTTCGCCAAAACGAAGTTCGTGGCGGACATTTCCTTGCCCTAAAACCCTCTCCGGTATACTCAGAAGTTGGACATATATAGGGTGTAACTTAACTTTTTTTAATGATATAAAAAATTATGGGCTTGAATGAGATTATCAGTTATTAATTAAAATTAGTAATAAGGGTTAATAATGTTAGCTATTTAAATTACCATTAATAAGATTTTTGTTCAAACAACCAAGTATTCCAAAATTTTGTGGAGAAAGGCAATTTTGCAAGTTTGAATAAGACCTGTGGTGGGAAACAGTCTCTTAGATGTGACAGTACTCATTTGGAAACTGTAGTACTTCTCTGTTTCTGGATTAGATCAAGTAGACCTTGAATTTGAAAGGTATTGTTGTATTGGTAATAAAAATATCGTAGATGCTGATATATCGGAATCGGAGTCATCCCTAAATGATAGTCCCGAATAGTTTTTGTTTTATATAATTTAAAATTTTTGATAATCTTACAATATTTAAAAATACAGTGAAAACTCTTTAACAAAATTCAAGGGATCGAACAATTAATATAATATTAGATTATAGTGCTCCATTATTTTCCTTTTCACTTTTCTTCTTGTGCCAATATTTAGATTGAACTGTTCTCTATGTATTTTTGACATCCATTTAAAAGTGCTAGGATCGTCTTCATGAATCAATAAGAATCTTTCCAGTAGTTTGGCCGCATCAAGTCCTTGTCCGATACTGGGTGGTTTGGCTCATTGGATTGTTCTTCCTGGATGTCAATCAGTTGACTCTTCATGTCTTTCATTGCAGCTCTGACCATTTCTTAGTGAGTTTCATGGTTGTGGTCAGTTATTCATCCACAGGAACTAACTTATGCAGCTCCTTGTTGCTTATTGATTTGAAATCTGACTTGCATTGATTGCCTGCAAAACCAGTAGATAGAGCAGCATGGCAAAAAAATGCTATATGGTTGCTGCTGTCGCCTCATCCCAGGCTCTGCTCAGAAAGTTCATTGCAGCCAGCTTATTAATGGAGAACTTTCCATCTGATTCAATAATTTCCATCAATATTTTTTTCTGTAGTGGCTTTTAAGACATTGGTTGCAGAATGCTTGTGGTATTTGCAGGTAAAACCCTAACTATATTTGAAGATTGGAGATAGCAGTATGAGCAGGCTAATTGTCCATGAGAAGTAGAATTTTCCTTCCTTTTAGCTCTACATGCCACCCCTGCACTTCTTCTTCAAAAATGTGCAACGTTATCCATGCTTAAGTGACGGGCAACCATTTAATATTCTTGAAACATCATGAGGAACCACTGCAGTATGGCTTTGGCTATGTCTTCAAATGTTACCTTTCATATCTTACAAGAGCTACCTTCCTCTTCAGCTATAAAGACTTTCTTCTTGCACTGCTTCCTTACATGGATACAGTAGACAGAATGAGTCCTAACCGCCATCCAGCATCACATCTATTTTCACCGTTTTCAATTGCACAAATCAAAGCAAATTTTTGGTCTAGAGATAAAATATTTCTTTTACAACAATCATGTTTACTGAATGGGTCACACACACTAACTAACCCATATTTTGTCATCTATAACATCTGAGAATTTCAATGCCAATATTATTAATATCTGGCTCACTATAGTGAAAGTTGTTTAGTGTCGAAACAATGGCTTGGTATTTGCTAAAGAGAGTGTGCTCTTAGTTATAGAGAGTGGTTTAATGTATAGGTTTGTATGAAAGTCAACCAAGTTCCACTAATATTTTTACAACTAAGAATTTTGTTCTTGAGAGTTTGACACTGTAATAAAAGAAAATTAAGCACCACTTTGTTAACAACAGGAGTTGGTACAGCTCTCAAAGTATTTTAAAGAAGAAATAGTTTATAGTTTTTACCCTTAGTAACGGAATAAAATTGTTTATTGTTACACACATGTAAAATGAACTATATGATCATTATTCTGCTGCTGTTATTATGGTAGTATGTTAGCATTTGGAATTTATATCATCACAAACTGCAGTGACATGTTTTTTAGCAGCATTGCAACTGTGTGTCTTCTACCACCAAGTTCAGAATCATACCTTAAAACTTTTATTACACAAGTTATTGCAAATGTTCACTGCTAAACTTATATTTTTACAGATTTCACAAGGATATATGTGTCTCTGGTGCAATGAGGCTGGAAGAACATTTTATTCTATGGAAGCTGCTCGGGCTCACATGATTGATAAGGGACATTGTAAAATGTTACATGAAGGTCTTGCTTTAGCAGAATATGCAGATTTTTATGACTATAGGTAAATACATATTTAATACAACAAAGTAAGAAAGTCTCATCAATGCAGAGGTTCAGATTAACTGTAATTTTAATAACTCAAATAGTGACAGTGAAGTGAATAGTATATAAAGAGTACAGACAAAATGGGAATTTATTATTTTTGTTTTAATCTTGCAATCATTTTTATCATCATCATCATTATTACAGCCCTTCACAAGTCCACTGCTGAACATACGCTTCCCCCAAGGAATGCCATAAAGCACGGTCCTGAGCCACCTGCCTCCATCGACTTCCTGCATGTCTTACCAGGTCGCCACCCTGACGAGAAGATGTGTTTTAGTTTCCTGAATGCTGCCCACCCGAGTTGAACCCGTCATTGACCTCTCAGTCGAAGTTGGACTTACCTCGTTGGACTATTTGTCCCAGGTAAAAATACAACAACTTCAGGCTTAGTGCTCTGGCATAGGTGTGACATGTGCATTATATTTGTTTTGTCTATGTTCATCTTAAGACCTTTGCATTGGGAGACTATTGAGGTCATTGAGCATAGTGCTTAGGTCCTCCAGCGATTCTAGAGCTATAAGGACTATATCGTCGGCAAATCGAAGGTGAGTGATGTACTCGCCATAGATGTTAATACCGTATCCTTTCCAGTCCAGAAGCTTGAAAACGTCTTCCAATGCAGCGGTGAAGAGTTTCGGGGATATAACGTCACCCTGTCTTACACCTCTCGTATTCGTACTCTGATTCTGTACTCGGATAGCCACTGTAGCCCTACTATACAAACACTTCAGCACTTCGATATACCGACAGTCAACTTGGCACCGCTGAAGGGACTGCAGCACCATCCAAATTTCTACATAATCAAAGGCAAGGCAAAGTGATAAATTTTACGCTTCGGTCTTCTGTACAATTTGGTCATGTGGTCTATGGTACTAAAGCCTTTTCGGAAACCGGCTTGTTCGGGAGTCTGGATGTTGTCAAATCTGCTTGCGAGACAATTCGTAATGATTCTTGAAAACAGCACGTAGACGCGGCTTAGAAGGGAAATCGGTCTGTAGTCAAGAGAGCGTTGCCGCCTTTCATGAAAAAACAAAACCACCGCACTTCTGCTCCACGCCTCCGGAGTAGTCCCACCATGGAGGACGGAATTAAAGAGTCCTCTTAATAAATTCAATCTCATTTTTTGTCAAACCGTCGGTGCTCGACCAGATCCACTTCCTGTGTGGCCGCTTCTGGATGAAGGAGTTCGTCATAAAGAATCCCTCTTTCTCCATGAAGTCGGCCAGCTGCTGGCCCCTTGGGTTCCGTTGCGCTATTCCGAATTTCCCTATCTTCAGCTCACCGTTCTCTCTTGTGCCTAATTTTGCGTTGAAGGCTCCCATTAACACTATATGGTTGTTTTTGGAAGAATGCATGGCTTTAGAGATATCCTCATACATTTCCTCCACTTCCTCATTGGGATGTGCCGAGGTTGGTAAACCTGTATGACCTTTAACGAATACCGTTTGGTGATTCTTAGTATAAGGTACGCAACTCTCGTCGGTCGACACACTCACAATCTTTACAACTTTGTTAACGAGAGACTTGTGGACGATAATTCCGACACCTCCTTGGGATAGATGGTCGCCCTCCCGGTGATAGAACAAGTTGCTGGATTCGAGGATTACCGTGTCCTTCTCCTCTCTTCGGACTTCAGTTAATCCTATAATATCCCAGCGAAACTTGTCTATCACTTCTTCCAGCCCCAGGGTCTCCTCGTAAGTCTTCAGGGTGCGTGCGTTGTATGTTGCCAGAGCGAGTCGTCTTAGGTGGCAACCGAACCTCCACCGGAGATTCTTAGTACCCCCTGCCCCGCCGTTACCATGGTCGTCACCGTAGACAGGAATAGCGGGGCCGCCGGGGACTGGGGGCCGTTTCTTCGTAACTTTCATCCATGGGGGGATGTTTGCCGTAGTTGCTACGCTTGGCGATCGGCTTCGCAACCGCAGTTTTTATTGTACTAATGGTGTTATCAGGAAGATGCTGCTGCGTGTTTCCCTGTGTTGCCTTTTACGACACCCACGGGAAGATATAGGGTAGTAGATATTCTTAACCGCCACCACACGGCACTTGCAATGGCAATTTATTATAGCATTAAAATCCATGTAGTAAGTTAAAATCAATGCTTGGTTATTTGAAATTATTAATATGACACCATTCTCTATGACTTTATGACTCAGAAGGAATGGAAGTGATTCATGCTGGACCAGTAGTGAAAATATGTAGATTAGCGAAATATCCCCGTGATTTTAAAATAGTACTTTAAAATTATGATTTGTTTTGTAGCACCTCATATCCAGATCACAAAGAGGGAGATGAAGATATGGATGTGGATGATGAAGTAGAAGAACCAGCAACTTTGGAAGGAGATGATTATCAATTGGTTTTGCCTTCTGGTGTTGTTGTTGGCCACAGATCTCTTATGAGGTACATATATTGAATTTTATCTTAAGCATTCATAAATGGATAGACTGCCATATTTCAACTTTTTGCATTATGATAATTATTAATAAGTTACATTGATAATAATATACAGGTAATATTATATTCTATGAAGCTTACCTTGTACTGAAAATGGAATACTTTTCAGATACTATAAACAGAATTTGACACAAAGCAGCCAGGCCTTGGTTAAAAAATCTGACCGAAAGCTACATCGGCTTTTAGGTGTGTACAAAGCATTGGGTTGGGCGCCAAAGGAGCAAGCACTTGCAGCTAAGTAAGTAATTTATTGTTTTTGGATAATCTGTCTATTTTGCTTACTAAGATGTCGGGGCTGCAAGAAATTTAAAGAATAGATTTTTAATGATATATTCTCTTGCCCTGTGCCCAAATGACTGAGTTAGACAACAAAGATAAATAACTGCACCGCGCATTGATACTATTATAAATTAACAAAATCAATATCTTGTTTTTGGATAATCTGTCTATTTTGCTTACAAAGATGTCGGGGCTGCAAGAAATTTAAAGAATAGATTTTTAATGATATATTCTCTTGCCCTGTGCCCAAATGACTGAGTTAGACAACAAAATAAATAACTGCACCGCGCATTGATACTATTATAAATTAACAAAATCAATATCTTGTAAATTCCTGTCTTTCTCCAAGACTGTACTGATTTTTAAATTTTTTCAAGAACATAAGAACTTCTGCGCCTATGTGTATTAAATTTGCTGGATGTTAATGGTATATCTGGGCGGTTTAATTATTTTAGAAGGTTCCTAGATTTTAAAGTAGTTCATTTATAGTAAAAAAACAAACAGGAACATGGATATAAGTTATGGGCTTAGGAATATTTGCTTGAGTGTCATTAGATCAAGGAGAAAACAGAGAAATACATTTCCATGGATATCTTTGCATGGATTAAACACCCCTACGATATTCTCATAAAGATTAAAAAACAAGCTTCAACAAAATTGTGGCTCTTGGGTTGAGATATACAGTATGTTTGAAAGATGAACCTATTAACCAATTAGAACATATTAAGCTAATCTTGTCTTAGATGAGGTCTGCTCTATTTTTTGAATTGAATTTCTAAGGTTTTACACAATAAAACCCATTTTTTCAATTAATTACCAATAGTACACAGTTATGTTATTATTTTTTATTTATGTAATGTGTGATTACTCAAACAAAATAATTTCCAAGCATTTTTATCATCAGAAAAAACATTCTACGCATATTTAAATGTTAGAAATTTAAAAAAAAATTAAGGAAATGTTATGTTTGTGCCATCATAAAAAATAAATAATATAGTCTTTGTTGTAAAAACCTTTTTTAAAACATACTTAGGTATTGCCCTTTCTTTTGAGGTATTATTTACGGAGATGCCTCATCAACTTTTGGAATTAGGGTGTACAAAGCAAATTGCGGATGATTTTTTTTAAATTTTAACAGACCAATAAAACAACATTTTTTGTTAAAATAATTTATTTTTCGTGTTCAAAATGTTGACCGCTATTTCTGACACAAGCGTGGGCTCGTCTTATCACTTCTGTGGTCGTAATTTTCATTTTCATCTCCTGCTTCATAGCTTGAAAAGCCGTATGGATTCTTCTTAGTAACTCCTCTCTGGTTGATATTTCGACATGCGTGTATTCGATAGCGTTAAAACATGCTCTTTGTCCCGTCCCCAAACGAAAAAGTCCACAGGAGTTAAATCAGACTATCAAGGTGGCCAAGGGATGGGCCCGTCTCTGCCGATTCAGTTCTCTGGGAAACAATTATTTAAATGTTCTCACACGTTTAAAGTCCAATGCACTGGACAACTATCTTGCTGAAAGGTCATTGGTCTTCTCGTTGCCAATATTGGTGTTTCGGCCTCCTCCAGAAGCTCTGGGAGATCGTTTATGAGAAATTCCAGGTAATTGTCTGTCATTATAGTCCTTTTACATTAAATTATCTGGTAGGGAGTGGGGGACCAATCAACATCCGGCCAGTGGTTACTCCTGCCCACACGTTTACTGAAAATTTGCTTTGAAACGACACTTGCTTCTTCCAGTGTGGATTGCTGTCCTTGCCAGCCCATCGCTGGAGGTTATGATAGTTGGTAATTCCTTCCTCCGAAAACTTTGACTCATCGGTCCACAAGATGGATTTTAAAAACCATTCATCTTCAATGTCATTACTTAGCAAAAAACGACAGAACTGAATCCTTCGTGGGGGATCTTCATTTTCCAAACCTTGTATATCCGTGCCGTGAAAAGGATACATGTTTTCTCGGTGCATCGTATTTATTCCACACCTTCCATGTTGAAATATTGAGGTTTTGAGCTACTGCTCTGATGCTCGTAGTAGGATCTGCATCGAAAGCTGCAATAATCTCTTCCTCTACACTTGGGCCATGTCTTCCCGTTTTGATTCCATGTTTCGCATGATGGATTCCAACTTCAGAAAGCTGACGGAATGTGCTGTAAAACACTCTGACATTTGGTAATCTTTCGGATATCGATCTTTGTACATCCGCCGTGCCAATGTTCCTTTAGCGTCAGCTCTGCCATACATGAAGACGACATTAGTATATTCTTCATTATTAAAAGCATCCATAGTTGATTGATCACACAAATAGTCGGAGAACAGTACAGGAGCACACAGCTAGGGCTAGGCTCAATTCAATAAAAAAGAACATCCAAAATAAACAAACACGAATTCGCAATTAAAACTTTCTAGTCACAAGAGCAGTCGTTACTTGACGGGAGTTGGAAAATATGACGAACCCGCCCTATTACTCGAGTACTGATTCTAATTAGTGTGAATAAATAACGACTTTACGTGATTTACTAAGCCGATTGTTCTATTGAATAAAAGTCTATTCACTAGGCCAGGGGTCGGCAACTTTATCCAGCCTAAGGGCTCATTTTAAAATAATTTACTCCTAAAGGCCGCATGAATGGTGAACGCAAATAAAAATTACACAAAGACATAACAAGATGTTTATTACATGAGGCATACATACAGTCAAATACATAAGTCACTACTTATTACAGCAATTAGTCACTAATTATTAGTGTGATCCTTGGCCTTGCATTTGTACCGACAACTTGATGAAATCTGGCTCATAATTTGAAGTACCATACAATGGCACAGAATAAATAATAGTACTAACGTAGGTACAGAAGTTGCACTCTTTTGATGTTGACTGCTTGCCGACGTTTTAATAGCCTACATAGTTATTATTAATCAGATAAATCGCGCACGCAAGCTCAATAAAACTTTATCGCTGCTCGCGAGTGTCCGTATTACGTTGCATCTTTTCTCCTTACTACGTCACAACGGACTTTCCGTGGTTGCTAAGGGCTGTTAATAAAAATACATTGTGAAATGGTAAGTTACTTAGGTAAAGTACCTATGCTGACTATAATCGACAATATTATCTACTATGTGAGTTCTGTGATGCCCAACGCATGCAATTTGTAAGGCCATTCGTCGGAAATCGCGATACTTGGAACAAATACACCTGAAATACGATTTCTAACAGAAATATAATCCTAATCTAATTAGTTGAAAATTTTGTAAACAAACTTTTAATTTCAGTATTTTGTGCTATTATAACTTAAAATATTTTAATTACAAAGACGAGTATAGGTATGTAAGTAGGTACTTGGGTAGTGAAGTAAATTTCAACTAAGTTTTGTAATAAAGTACTTAGTGTTAGCAATTAAATATAAAGAACAATTAAGCATAATATATTGAATTATCCTAATTTTAATGTAGTTATCTCTTGAAATATACATCTAACTTTAATAAATGTAAATCGAATTTCCGCTTTGTAGCTTTGAATTTCCGGTAAGATTTTTATTGTAATAGTTTCGGATTTGACTTCGAACAAAAGAGGTATAAAAATGGCCGTCACGACCCAAGCTAGGCATTCAGTTCTAAGGTATTGAAACTTAAGAGACGTGATTGTTTTGTGAAAAAGATATAGTGAAGGTAATAAGAGTAGAAGTGATTATTTGTACGATAAATAAATTGTGAGTTATAAACGGATGAAATAAAAGTGATATATTGTAACATACCTAAATTGTATTATTTGCTAACAAGTGTATTATTTGCTGACAAATCAGAAGTGGGATAATATCGAGCTACTCGGTATTTCGGACTCATTGGGTAAAACATAAATAGAGTTCGATCCATCTAAGAGTAATCAAACCGTTGATACCTGGATTGTTAAGGTGAACGAGTGTGCGGCTATTTATGGTTGGTCAGAACGTCAGATAATCCATTATGCTCTTCCAAAATTAGTTGGTTTAGCGCAAAAGTGGTATCAAGGTTTGCCAAGCTTAATGTTTTCTTGGTCTGAATGGCAGGATAAACTAAGGTCAGCATTTCCAAGTAATCAAAATTATGGCCAACTGTTAACAGAAATGCTTGCGTGTAAGGCTCGATTTGGCGAGTCTTTAGAAGAGTATTTTTATGAAAAGATTGTTTTATTGAACAGATGCTTAATATTTGGTAAAAATGCTACAGACTGTATTTTATTTGGCATTGAGGATAGGTCTGTTAGAACAAGTGCCGAAGCGGCTCAATTTACGGAACCAGATAAATTGTTAATTTTCCTAAGAAATGTTAAAACTGTTAGAAGACCTGAAAGGAACACCACAATTCAAGCAAGCACTTCTGACAACAGACGGCCAAAAGTCTTTAAGCCGATACAAGGTAGTTCTGATATTAAAACTGTACCAAAATGTTATAACTGTGGCGAGGAAGGACACCCATATTTTAAGTGTAAACATACTATTAAAAGGTGTAACACGTGTCATAAGATAGGTCATTTAACTGATAGTTGTCCGAAACAAGGGTCCGCAGACAGCAAGTCTGTTTTAGTTATATCCAAAAATATGGATTATGATTTAAAATATTTTAAATCAGCCAAGGTTAATGACATAGAATTAGACTGTTTCATAGATTTTGGTAGTCAATGTACCATGTTGAAGGAATCTGTTGCTAAAAGTCTAGTTGGTTCGTGGTCAACGAATAATCTGCCAGTTTTACGAGGCTTTGGAGATTCTGTAGTGAAATGTCTCGGTACGTGTGAAGTCGAAATCGAAGTGGATCTTGTTAAAGCTACGGTACAAGTTCTTATTGTGGCAGATGAGTTACTAAGAGTTCCGTTATTGCTGGGACAAACTTATACTGAACAAGATCACATAGTTGTTTATAAAAATAAGGATAGCTTAAAAATAATTTCTAGAGATTCACAAAAAGAAACTAAGGTTTTG